GAGAAGGGGGGGGGGGCAGTATGCAGAGCACTGAGGTGGAACAGAGCCCATCATGTGAGCTTGCTAGCTAGCTAGCTCGAACTCCCTCCCTCTCTTGCAACAGAAGATGAAGCGGAAGAATGTGCTCTGCACCTGTGAGCACCCTTCATTTCACTTTCTGTGTCTTCACTGTGAGGATTTTGCTGTGTATTCCAGGCCTTATCCAGTGGCTGGCTTTATGAAGTGGGCTGGGATGGACTGCAGCAGATACAGCAGGTTGTCTTTAGTGACACCTCACCGAGATGAGCTGTGCGTCTGGTATCGGGGTATGCTGACAGCCCACTGTAAAGAAGATGAATCTCGGGTGCAGAGCAGGGCTGCCTGCAAGTGTCATGGCAGGCCAGTGCAGAGGCGTGGACGCCCAGTAACATTATTCCATCGCTACCCCCAGTTTCCCCCCGCTCTCTCACATTTCCCTTCTGATGACATGATGGATATGACTCCGTCACCCTCACAGCAAGGGTAGGATGTAACAGGACAGGGAGCAAGTGAAGTAGACAGAGAGATATTGGGAGGGAGAGGCAGAGATATATAGAGAGAAGGAGATAGAGTGGGAGGTTGATGAGAAGTGGGAGGCAGGGGGAGAATATATTTAAGAGTGGACAACATGGATCTAATGCATAATTCATTCTTTCTGAAATTTCTTTGAGGTTTTTTTTTTTTTTTTGTAGAACTTTATATTCACTCAGCTCGCTGTGTTTCAGCACTTTCTGCTTGAAATGCCTCCACCATTTCAGTCTCCACATTACAGCGTTATTTGGTCTGAACCTTGGTTTTCATGTTTGATGTTTCATGGAGCCTCACTGTCTGCAACTTTTTGCCTTGGCCCGAGGTTGCCGTTGGTTACCTGCGATCAGCACATATGTCTGTTGGCCGAATAACTAATATCTCTTTGGGGAGCCCTTCCTTTTATGCTCTCAGGCTGCTGGGAGTGGTGTGGGTATTGATTCGGTTGGTGGGCTAGAATTTCTCCTGGGGGCTAATAAAAATAATTACAATAAGATCATCAAAGGCCTGACCTTCTGTTGCACACATGAATAAATATGTGACAAAGATAATAGAAAAGACCCCTTCTATGTGTGTGGTCACTGGAATAGGAGGGAGAAGGGGCTATTATGATACTTAAAGTGGTGTTTTATTCTGGATTTGACCAACAAATTTGACCTGTTTATGTTTAAGTGTGTTAAACTTTTATATCCTTTTATCAATAAATGTGAAATGTGTTATATTGTTTGGAACATAGGGGAAAACACTAAAGAGGGAGAAAGCGTGCTCAAAAACTGCACATTTCTTGGATAGAAGGACTGCAAAATTGTATCCAATTTCAGTGAAGCTGACATAAGTAGCCTGGAAGAGAAGGCAGAGAAGAATCTGCTTCTGCTTCAGTAATCCCTCTCTGATTTCATTCTCTGTCTGTGCGCTTGTTTGTTTGTTCTCTGGTTCCTGCTTTCCTCCAGGAGTGGATGACTGCACAGCAGTGGTGAAAAAGTAATGGTGGTGTTATTGCAGACAGGGGGAAACACAGCATTTTGATTGGAGCGTGTGCCCTGAGACCCAGTGAAGTGCACTCGCCTCAGCTCAGAGAGCACTTGATTGCACAGCGCCAATGATCGCATTAAAAGGGCAACAGAAAGCCCATTTACCGTAAAGAGAGCGAGGAAGGGGGCCCGATAGGAAGCTGCAAATTGACTTTCACTTCTGTGAGAAGCTCGGTCTGATCGGCGGGTGGTGGGCATGTACGTGAAGTTTTTTTTATTTGATCTTCCTGGACAGCACGCGGTTAGGGGCACCACAAGCATATGGGAAACCACATGAGGGCACAGGAAAAGATATACACACATGAAAGTTTTTGAAAGTGAAAGCAATAGGCAGGGTTTACACGTTGAGGTTATCCTGCGTTAAGATTGATGGGCCTCTTTTAAAACGTATTCCAAGGCATATAGAGGTGTCTTTGACCTTTTCTACCTTCTGACTACCTTGACTCAGGAAGGACACTGACCAGTCACGTCTGGCCCTCTGTGCACCCGGCTTGGCTTTTTCTGGCGGTGAAAGGACAATTGTAGAGGCATCTGCTGTGTTCATTTCCACAGGAAAGAGGAGAGCAGATGGAGACTCAAGGTTTAAGTGATTAGAAGGCAGTAGATTGGAATACAAATTGGATTTAAAGAAATTAGACTGATATAAATCGAATGGAGTCACTGCAGTTTAGTGCTGTGCATGCGCATTGGCCTTAGTGGAAAGCCACTGCAGGGCCTGTGGATTATGGGGGAAGCAGATGCTCCAGAGAGATAAGAATGAATGTGCATTTGACACTCCATCCGAGGGAGATGGGGGTCTTCATGTCTGTCCTTTATCTTGCCCTCCATTTATCAATGTCACGGTGTTAATTACTGCTTCATTTATTAAGCTACTAACTGCCAGAATACAAACTTGCCCCTCTGCCCCTGCTCTGACAGGGAAACTGGCTGCTGGCTAGGTTACTGTTACCTACCACTGGTGAAAGAGATTGGGTAGAAACATGCCGGCGGCAAACTATAGGTTTTTGTTCCACCACCAATAGAACATCATCAGTTTTCCACATAATGCCAATGAGATTAGATCATGCGCTGTGGTAGCAGGATATCAGCTCCCCCTTCACTACAACCCCCTGTCTGTGGCCCCACTAAGAGCAAGACACTAGTCCTGATGACTAATCAATGACAGGGAAATGGAGGGAATTAGCCCAAATTAGGAAGAAGAGAGAACAGACTACCTCCTGTTCAGGGGTCAATATGCCACTGTCTGATGCCTGATCCCTGTTAAGGCAAATGGCAGACTAGTGCACATTTACAGAGTGAATGCATGTGTTTGCGTGAAGCTGTGAGTGTGTGTGTGTGTGTGTGTGTGTGTGTGTGTGTGTGTGTGTGTGTGTGTGTGTGTGCGTGCGCACATTGACCACCCTCAGAGTCTTTGAAGTGTATTTTGTGCTGATCAGCGGGTTTCTACCTGCGCCTGTCCTTTTGCCCGCAGACTCGTGGACAGAAAAGGCCGGGGCGCAGCTTGTCCCAGTTTCCCCAGGGAGCATCAAGTATGAGGGGTAGTGGAACATGTGCAAACCCAGTCAAACAAAGAGCTGGAACCACCACTATTTTGCCTTCATTCCATGTTGAAATTAGCCCTTACATAAGCACAAAGGCCTACGTGGTACACTGTTCCTCGGTACACCAGGCGTCATCCTATTACCCCGCTGCACTGCCCCGGGGAAGGGCACAGTCATCAACTCAGCTCAATCACATTCACACCTGCAGCAACTAATTTTAAGACAAAGAGCCCGGCACTCGACTTAATACAACACTGAGTGGTTAACAACTGTATCAGAGTTATTGATGCGTATTGAGCGTGGTTCAAAAGAAAGAAAATAAAGAAAGGGCTGTTGGAAAAGTTTGCCTTATTCTCCATTCTCTTTACTGTGTCTTTGATTGTTTGATGCTGGATCAAACTCTTTGATTGTTGCCTGGTTCCCATGGCTTCTGTGATGTAAATGTGTGTGTGGCTTACAGCATCTTATCTCCAATGGTTAAGACCTGGTCACAGACACACAGAGCAAGCACTCTGACTTGGGGAGCATTATCTTAGCTGCCAGACTCCCAGAGCTCACCCACTGCAAGCCCTAATGAAAAGGAGCGGGCCAGGGTTTTCAGCCACAAGGGATTAGCATTTGACATGAGTCTGGACCCCGGCATTCATATTCACATCACACTAGTACTTCTACAACAGTGTGGACCCCGTAGTTTTATGTGTTCGCACCCCTATGAAAGTCAAATATATGATTTGGGTGTGTGTGTATACTTCACATGTACGCTGACTGTATGCCTCCATTCACTGTTCACCCATGGGTCCAATTACCCACAAGCCCTTGTATATAGGGTTGAGAGGAGCAGATGGCTGCTTTTTGACTGGTCTGAAATGGTGATTAAAGGATTCAATATATGTCCTTTACATGCTTCTAACCCAAGACAACTATAAGTTTGAGTGTTCCATCCATTTTTCCAACACTATAGCTCAGGTCCAGGTAGCAGCGGCAGCAAGCTGAGGGGAAAAAAAAAACAGAGTGTCTTTATCCTCAGCACTGCTTTTTGAATGAATGTTAGTTGTAGTCACCTGGTGAAAACGTGGATAAGTTTAATCATATTTTATGGGAGCGCTGGCTCTTCGTCGTGGTTTCTCCCAGCTGTTCCTGCTGCTGCATCTCCATTGCCTAGTTTTCAGTGGCATTGTTGCTTTGTTAAGGCAGTTCATTAAGATGATATTTTTTTCCTTCACAGAACACAATGTTAACCTTACAGACATACTTGAACACAAGATGTTGCTCAGTGGTTTGTAGCTGCATTTGTAAATCAGGTCAAATGTGCACAGATAGCAGATAATCAACAGATATTTTGGACAGCAGTTTTCCTCAGAGGCATGCAGAGAAGAGACTCTCAAGTGAAAAAAGTCGTGCTTAATTTGTCTGTTTGCTCTTCTTTTTTTTTTTTTTTTTTTACAGTGAAGTCAAGTTAAATTAATTTTATTTATAAAGCCCAATATCACAAATTTGCCTCAAGGGGTTTAACAATCTGCACACATATGACTCAATCCTTACTTATGATTATTATTTATTTTATTTTTTTAATGACGTACTTTATATTCTATTGTATATTGTGTATATAGGTGCATCTGAGACAAATCCTGTAGCTCCCTCTGTGGGATCTAGACATCTTCCAAAACTAAATGGTTTATTTAATCTGTTGCTATTAGTTGTTCACTAATTTAAGCACTACCTTCCCACTATTTTCTTGACAGTTTTCCTGCTGGCAGTCGTGTTCATGGAAGAGGCTTTTGACTTGAGAAAGCATGTTTTAATGAAAACACGACCAGAAACCAGCCTTCACGTCTTTATGCTGTTCCACTATGATTAATTGCATCTCTTCTTTTTCCTCCAGGATCCCGTCTGCGCCAGGAGGACTCCCCACCCCGGATTGTGGAGCACCCCTCTGACCTGATTGTATCCAAAGGGGAGCCCGCCACTCTCAACTGCAAAGCAGAGGGGCGGCCGACCCCGACAGTGGAGTGGTACAAGGATGGAGAGCGGGTGGAAACGGACAAAGATGACCCACGTTCTCACCGCATGCTGTTGCCCAGTGGCTCGCTTTTCTTCCTGCGCATCGTTCACGGACGTCGGAGCAAACCAGATGAGGGAGCCTATGTCTGCGTGGCCCGGAACTACCTGGGAGAAGCTGTCAGCCGCAACGCATCTTTGGAAGTAGCCTGTGAGTCAGGACTCTGTCCCCTTTTTTTTCTTCATCATTTCTCCTCTTCGCTGTGTTGCTCAAAGAATATTGCTCATATAGTTTAACAAGTCATTTGGCTGGAGGAAGAAAAGTCTTGATCCCGCTGCTGTTTCCAGATGGACCGACTGGATTTACATTCAGAACTATATATGTATATATAATATATTTTTCCCTTTATACATAATGAGAAATTACATTGTCTTAAGTGAAGGGAATAACACATTGCAATCAACATTTGATGTGAGGCAGCTTTAATAACACTATTTTTAGACTTGATTTCTTACTCTCCGTGTTCTGTATTTAGGGACAGTTAAGCCGTAGTGCCGTCTTGCAGTGTGTGCCATTGTTTGGGCAGATAATTAATTGCACAAAATGAACTCTTTAACCACACAAGACTTGAGGTAAATTTCATATACTCTTAGCTCCCGGGAATTTCATTAAATTTGTTTGCAGACCTCTGAGTCGGACGTAAAGCTACTGTCAGACTATATGAGAGGGCATGATGGCAAGGCAGACGGGTCTCTCACAGGTGGGTGGGGGTAGGACGACAGGCGCAGATCAAAGTCGTGATGGACATTTGACACAGGCCTCCTGGACAGTGTTGGTGTGTGACAGACAGAACCTGAGCTGTGGGTCAAATTACCTTTAAAGATGAGCCCCCCCCCCCGAGAGGCTCAGGCTGGGCTTCCTATGGCGTGGCTCCCAGACCGCAAACTGCCCATAAGGTGGAGTGGAAAGTCTCCCATGTCCTGATGTTGTTTTAACTGGCGGTACTTTTAGTTCTATAGTGTTTCAGATATGTTTTTAGTGGTACTCACAAATTCTTTGGATACTTCATTTGATCTGAAGAGGAGACTTTGAGATCACATATCACGTTAAGTGACTAATGCTAAACTCTTATTTTTCTTCAGTGAACATAATTCAAACCAGCATCTTTTACACCGAAGAAGAAAGTTATTGTTATTGTATTTCTAAGGTGACTACAGTGGTAGCAGGATGGGTAGTTGGTTTGTGATTGGGAAATGGACCTTGTGTGTCAGGGGAGGAGGAGGAGGAGGAGGAGGAGGAGGAGGAGGAGAAGAAGAAGGAGTGGGGGCTTGCTCTCTGCATCTGATCCAGTCCCCTGCCTTCCCGAGGGCCTTCCAGCTGCCCCCAGGTGCTAACTGCGTGACAGCAGCTTGATCTATCGATTGCTGTAAGAGGGCTCTCCCAGCCTAAATGAAAATTCATGAAAAATTGATGAAGTCTCCAGATTATTTTATTTTTCCCTTCTCACACTGTTTCTTAGCCTTTCTTTTTGCCACTCTCACTCTCCCTCTCTCATGTAATATGGGTTGCGCAGCAGAGGGGGTTGAATAGAGGTATTGACTGCTCGAATGGCTTAAAGGTGAGGGGTGAGAGGTCAGGAGGCCAGGAGACGAGGGGATAAGGAAGAGCTAGCAAAGTGAAGAAATAAGAACACCCATATGATGTGTATTACCAGTGATGCTGGGTTTGAGAGAGCGAGCGAGCGAGAGAGAGAGAGAGAGAGAGAGAGAGAGAGAGAGGTGGGTCAGGCTAAAGCCCCTGGCCACATTCTGAGTAAACAAGGATACAGAGCTGTACCTTTTATCAGTGGAGCTGTAAAATACACACTCAACTCCCACTTAGGCAAAAGGTTTGATTCAGGTTCTTCTTCTTCTTCTTCTTCTTTGACACTTTCTTCTTCCAGTACAAATAGCCGTTTGACACCTTAGCATTTAAGAAGTCATGTAACTTCTATTTATCTGCACCAACACAGAAGAATACAGCCAACAGACTAACTCCCCATCTACATTTCATTGTTTTTCTAAGTGATGTCACATCGTCCACTTCTGTTTATAGGTAAACCAGTATTGGCACCGCACTAGCTCACACAGTTTGGCTCATATTGACCTGACCTGACCCGACCAGGGACACTGATTGAGATGAAGCGTGGGCAGTGGGTCAAGTGCAGTTCAACAGGGACAGTTACTACGTTGCTTGATCATGAAGTGCAATGAAGTTTTATTAAAGTAGAATCATTTTTAGTACCAACTGTTTTATTATGAGCAGATCAAAGTCCTCAGAGGCACTTTACTTTAGAATGGAGGAGATGAGGAGAAGAAAAAAAACATGAATAAAATATGATGGTAGGCACCAAACATGGACAGAATCAGTGCAGCTGTTTTGCCATAGTGCTATTTGCTTTGGCTCCCTCTCTCACTCTCTCACATAAACAGTAGTATTAGACCTGTTAGTCTTTTAAATGTACAGTGTTAACATCAAATAATCATGTTTCACTTATTTGTAAGATATATGTAAACAGTGTATTTCCTTTGTTCATTTTTGTTTTCATTGAAATTAGGCTATCATAGACCCCAAACAGGAGGGAGGGCAATTTTGTGGAGCACTCCATGCCTGGTTTGTTTTGGGCCCAGGGCTTTCTCAGCTTTCTCTTTCAGCCAGGTCTTCAGGGGGGGGGCTTGGGGAGCAGAAAGGGGTGGGGTGCTAAATCCCACTGCACTGGCTTACCGCAGTGATTAGCTTTATCAGGTCCTGACATCCGTCTGGTGATTGTAATACCAAAGCTAATCGCACAAGGAGAAGCAGCATTTAAATCTATATCTATGTGAGACTGGGTTTGTGTTTATGATATGTCTTGCCCCTCCCCGCACCACCCACCCCCTTCACTCGTCTTCTACCTCCCTCCCTCCCTCCCTCCCTCGCATTGAACACACCTTTGCCCCCTTCCGTTCACGAGTGGTTGAGCAGGACCCTGGTGAGATAATTGAATTGCAGCTCTGAAACAGATTGAACTCAGTGTCCACTGAGCAGAGTGGCGCTGCTGCATGCTGGACATCCAGCTGGGCAACTCTCACCACTGTCTCTGTTGGAGGAGGAAAGGTGGAGTGGAGAGGAAGAGGGGGGAAAAGGCCTCTGAGAGGTGCCTCTGCATTATTAATGTGGGCCAGATTGGGGGGGACTTGTGCCTTTACTACGCTTAGTCCTCCAACCATGTCTCCTTTAAGTGTTAGCTGTTGAACACACATTGTTCACAAATGGATGGACAAGAGCATGAACTGCCTTCTGTTGTCGAAGTCAATGGTGCCTGTGCAGAGTGTAAGGATAATGCTCAGACATCACTTTTGCCGCATTTGGGAAGAGATTTCATTATAGCTGTTGTTCACTGTCCTGTTCTTCAGAAGATAGAGAACTTGTAAACATCCTGCCTAGAGGGGATCTGAGCTGCCTGCTTTGTAATCTTATTCCTCCTCCCAGTGTGCTCCAAAACTGACTGCAGGCCAGCTCCATGGGATGGATATGCCGCATATAAGAGGGGATGTGCCCCCTTTTCTCTTTTCAGAATAAACTAGGTCAATGAGCAGGTTCATAAATCATTGTGAAGCCTGTGTCAGAGAAGCTAGCTGCAGCCACCGCTGCTGAATAAATTGCTAGCACTGCGGATATCTATGTATATGTAAGTGTGACAAGGCACACCTGGGGCGATAGGCTCCTAAGGAAAATGATAATTAGCCCCATCTTTTCAGGTGGATGGGTAGCACGTGTACGCGCAGTGCTCCAGATACGAGCGTGTAGGGTGAACAGTTGCACTTTTAATTGAGTGTCGAATGTGACTCAGGCCGTCTGACATGTATGTTGCTGTATGTGTATTAAATGTATGTAATCGCGTGCGGGGAGAGGCATGGCAGAGGAATGAAGGCACCTGGAGAAGAAGAACCTTGAGGTGTATTTTGCTGTATCCTTTACTTCTTCATTTGTAACCTTTAAAAATGCAAATGACAGAGGAATGAAACAGATGTCTTGGGTTGGTGCTAAATGCCACTTGGAATGGGATTGGATGACTGTTAAAAAGGTCCTTTGATATCATCTAATGTACCGCTTCTGCAATTAAGTGAATCGTTAGGTAGCATTTGGTGCTCGTACAACAAGGTAATTAGCAGGAAAATAGAGTTGGGAGAGGTGTGAGTGGTGAAGAGAGGAGGAGGGTACCAAGCTGTTCGTGTTGTGTCCAGCATGAGGGGAAGCTAATAAAGGGACAGGCCAGGAGGAGCAGGCCAGGTGGGGAGTCAGGCTGAGCTGCACTGCCGAGCCTTTCACAAGCTCATCTGGACTCATTATTCCATTTCAGAAATTAGAAAATGGAGTGACGAGGGCACGCAAACAACACACTCGCACACTCTCTCACACACATGTGCACAAACACCTGCCCTCGCGCCCATGTAAACCCCAGTAGGCTGAGGTTTAATCTGCGCCGAAGTCCTTGAGAAATAATGAAGGGTAATGAAGGAAGCAGCAACAATGCAACCATTACGACGCATTAGTGATGCATGCTACAGCCCGAGATAAAACACAAAAACTTAACACTGTCTAATTTGTATTTAAATATGTTTTACTCTCCCAGAACATCTTGCTGTGACTGTTTGTTTATGTGGTGGGATGCACAGAACAAAAGACTTGAGGGACAGTCTAAAACAATTGCTATGCTCTTCGCAAACACTTTTGAATGGCAGAGCACTGTTTTTCTAAAAATCTGTCTGAGACACAATGGAAGGATTCATCAACATTAATTTGATTGGCATATGGGATGCTGCTTGCCTAGCACTTAAGCAAAATACATATAATTCTGATATTTGATGAACCAAATTATTATTCAGCACATCACATTTAGATTTGAAAAAAATAAAAATAAAAATTAGGATAGCTTTTGTTATTGTCTAATTCCGCAGTACTATTGATATTTCATGCTGGAGGTGACCAAGTACATTGCAGAAAACAAGTGGTGATGTGACAGAGGAAAAGCAAAAAGTATAGATGCAGAGAAGGCGGGAATGTTGCCCTGCGATAAGAAAGACGGTGAGAGCAGGCAAGGGTGTGAGAAATATCTTCCCCCGATAAACTGTGAGAGAGTAAAAATCCCTGATTAAATGTGTCAGCTCTGTGTCTGTGCAGCTGGAGTT